TCCTCTAACATACAAGGGTCCTGCTTAATTTATAAAGTAAAAATATATTTTATACGTACAATTAACATTCCTTTTATTATGGAATTAAGTGGATTTTAGTGTAATTTAGACACTGAGCTGTGTGTAAACTTTAGCTGAGAATTTCCATTAACATCTCACTAGTGAAAACACCGGCAATACTTTTCTAAACCTGCAGGCATCCATTTATACGGGTATTTAGTCTGTGTGTTTGTCACAATGTGTGACCCATTTCACATTACAAATTGTAATTTGATCCATTGAAAATAGAAATGTATTGATTAGAGCAGCTTTAAACAGGATAATATCTGAGGTTTTAAAGTGTGTGTCAATCCTGCTGCATGCTTCTCTGCTCTACATTGTGTTGTCTGCGTGCGCACAGCACAGCTGGAGATATCAGCGTTTGTTTTCCTTCCTTCAGAACAGGCTATTCTCTGTAATTCATTGGTGTTAAAAATGACAAATACGGGCTTGAAAACCATCCAAGCTACAACCCTCAGTTTGGTTTTGTTTAAAAGTCTTTGCTTTATCAAATATTTTGTTAAGCCCAAGTTGAGGGTTTCATATCTAAAAGCAAAAGAGGCCTCCACTAGATCACAGAGTCCTTCAGGCTTTGCAGTTAGATGAGGATGAGAATCTGGGACGGAGACAAAAAACTCTCACCAATGGCCTCTTGGCATGACATTACACGATGCCGACTATTAATCACCTTAAACCAAGAGGAAGACATGGAAATGTCTGCCAGGAAACATTCAGCAGTTCTTTCATGCTTGGTTTCACACTGTAAAGTGTGCATTTAAAAACAGGAAATGAGTGAAAGGTACTGTCCTACGCCTTTCAGAATGTCAGCTAAATGCAGACTGAGCTGTAATTTAAAACGACACCGGTATTCTCCTCTAAGCTGGCGAGGCTCCAAGAGGCTGAATCCACATGATGTAATGAAAGCAAATCTGACCTTGCTCTCCACCAGTGAGACGAGAACTTGCTCCAAGGCGGAGGAGGCTTGAGGTAAAGCGGTCTGCAGATGGCCAACGACCACGCCGACAGCGACCCGCGACAGCTCGTAACTCAAGCCCGTGTTCTTCCGCACCAGCTCGATCAGTTCAGCCCCAATAGTCATTGGAACTGGCTCAGATGTAGTGGGGCTGCCAGGAGGGCTTTCAGCAACAGACGGGGGGGCAACGGGCCATTCACTTTCAGGCTGGTTCTCCTCAGCAGGCTGTAAAGGGGGGGTGGGCTTGGGAGGCTGCGGTGCCGGGCTTTTCTTCGCAGGAGCCGGCTGAGGAGAAGAGTCAGAGGGCTGCGCGTCTGGAGGCAGCGCAGAGGGCTTCACACGGGATGGCACGGGAGGAGGGGGGGTGCTGGAAACACTTGGGAAACTGACATCAGAGGAGACCAGGGAGTGGGAGGAGCCCGACTCCAAAGAGGTGGTGCTGATTGAGAGGGAGGGAGCAGGGGACGGAGGAAGAGAGGAGACTCTGGAGGGGACCTCCGGCTCTGCTGGCAGGGGGAGAGAGAGAGAGAGAGAGAGAGAGAGAGTGTGTGAAAGAGCTCCAGTTACAGAGAGGAGAGAGTGAACAGGAATGACCTGACTAAGAATAGAGTATGTTTGTAAAGTATAGAGCTGAAGCAGGTAGCATCAGCTAAAAGCAGCAGCAAGAACACTCTGCTGTAATGTCTGTTTGGAAGTAATGTTACCGCTGCTGTTCACTGACCTGGACGCCGGCTGTTTCTCTGTTTCTCAGGGGGAGGAGGGGTGATCGGAGCCGCGCGCCGAGGCTGAGGAGGCACCTGCAGGAGGGGACACGGGCAAGGCTGGATTACCAACCGGGCAAAGCAGACAACTGCCACAGAGGCCCAGACCTCCGGGGGCCCCAAAAGCTTCAGTTCCATTATTCTGTCGCTTGACTTTTGGTGATTTGACTCATTGCACATTTGTTACTGAATCTACACCACAGAAAAACAATATCAACTTAGACCAATCCAGCATGATTACTGTGTCCAGCCGCAACTAGTGATTATCTTCATTATCAATTATCGTTTTCCCGGAGTCCCAGGTGATGCACTCAAATGTCTTGTTTTGTCCAATCAACAGCCCAAAAGCCAAATATTCAGTTTACAATGATATAAAACAGAGAGTGGGAAATGTGGCAAATACTCACATTGGAGAAGCTGGAACCAGGTAATGTTTGTCCCTTTTGCATGGAAAAATAACTTAACACAATTGATTCATTTTCAAAAGAGCTGCCAATTCAATAATTGATTAATTGCAGCTCTATATTACTCCCTAAAAAAAAGTGAAATTTTATTATCAGTCTGTTTTGTGGAGACATGCTGTATATCCTCGATCCTCGAGCAGATGTGAACACAGCATGTTGCAGCTCAGGGCCGACATTTTAACTGCTAAGCCAAGGGTGTGGCTCATAAACTTATGTTTTATCAAAATTACCACAAACTAATTGAGACACAAAATACCTGAGCTAAAGAATGAACAGACATGATTCCCAAACCAAAGATTTACATGGAAGGATTGAAAATGGAAAAATACAAATTACGATTTCGTAAACCCACATTTGTGTTTTTTCAGGAGGGAAATAAGTGGGATTTAAATTGTGAGGCTGATCTTTAGTATGTTTATTAACAGGTTAATATGGCCATGAGTGTGTTACCTGGTAAAAGCCCTGTTCTGCTTGCATATTGTCCATGCTTCCTGATAATGGCATGCTTCCCTGTCGTCCATAGTCTCGGTTAAGGCCATTGGGTGGAGGAGGAGTTTGACTGAGAGAGATTTCACTGCTGGAAGATGGGAGGCCTTGTTTATGACCAGAGGAGGAGGAACTCCGCCGTGCAAGGGTCTCCTTTCTGTGATGGATCAACTTTCTGTGATGGAGGAGAATAATGACTCATATGCAGGACATACTGTAGGTAGAACAATATCTTACTATTTGACATTTATCATGTGCATATTCGACTCACTGCAGAACATCTCGCTGTTCCAGATTGTATTTGCCTCCATTTTTTAAGGCCACATTATGGATGCCTTCGATTGCTCTGTCAATAGACTGCAACACCTCATCCTGCTCTGGAGCCTGGCAGATAAAAAGAGAAAATATGGTGGGAGGAGATGAACAAATAAAATATTCATTAACAAGGCAGCATGCCTAATTATTCAACTTTAAACATAACAGAACAAAAAATTCAGCCTTGGGGACATGCGCGACTCCAGGCAGAAACAAACTGGGGCAGTTATCTAACAAAAACAGCCTTTTAGCCAGTGTCACACGAGCTCAGCGAGGCCTCACATTCAGGCTCATTAAACCTCCACGGCCAATGTCATTACCAACAGTTGAGAGCATTCCTATCCTGCCAGTGTGTGTGAGCCTATGATTTTACCAAATACATGCTCTGACTAGTTCAGTCCGTCTTAGTCTGGATCCTTGGAAAAAGGGAGTCCTCTCACATTAGAGCTCATGTGGGTGTGACTGAGAGAAAACCAAAAGCTATGTGGGAGGAAGTAGCTACTTATTCAACAATGAGAAGATGAGTTAAGAGTGATTCTTGATAATAAAATGCAGAGTCAGAGGAGGAGATGATTTTAATTTGAGCAGACACAATGGCTTTCTGTTTTGGTGGCTTTGCTGGTCTAGTCCTTGGAGCTGTCCCATCTCATATGCGATTCTGTCCTGGACTCAGTCTCTCTGTCCTGTCTCTCATCTCATCCTTCTCTGACTCCTTTCCTGTGATTCCCCTCTGTCGCAGTCAGCAGCTGCAGTGCAGAAGGCCATGACTCTACATAATGCAATCCCTCCAATAATTTATGGGTTCTTCTGCAAACGTGCAACAACCAGCAGTCAGCTTCAACATGGCCTGCACTGCAACACACACACCGCACTGCACAGCTACACTGGATCTGTCTCTGCCGATCCTATCAACCCCCCCCCCCCAACCCCCTTACAACACTCACTAGATTTCTCTTCACCTCAGGATGCGACATGGTCACAAAGAGACAAAAAGCGTGAAGGTCAGAAAGTGGTGTTTACCTGTATTTTTTCGATGTATGAGGCGGGGATGTAGCCGGTTTCTCCCGAGCTGCAGCGGGACCCCAGCCACCAGTGTTTGTTGCTCCTCTCCAGGATTAGGAAGCTCTCTCCGGCCGCGAAGTGCAGCGAGTTGGGCTCCGCGGATCGGAAGGCGTACAGCGACCGGTACATACTTTTAACAACACTTCAACACGCCGAGATGAGCCGAAGCAGCTGGAAGGGCGGTGTCTGGGGATAAGGGGTGTCCGGGTGCTGCGATCTGCTCTGTCGGAGGTGATTTAAAGAGGCTATGAAGGCATGGCCCCGGCGGAGCGCTGCTGTCTATTTACAATGTAGCTCGATCATCTGACCCGTGACTGCTTCCAGTAAACACCACAGGGGGGCGCTGTCACGCCCTGAACACGCCCCCCAGGCATTTTAATCAAAGGCAGAGTAAAGTGCAGCGTCACATAGTTTCATAAAGTATTTCATGAGCCTTTCCTGCAAAACATGATTTTTAAAGGCACCTTTCATTTACGCATCATAACTGTCACTAACTTATTATAGATTTAGCAACAATCCCTGAGACATTAATTGTATTTATGTCTCAGCGCCACTGTGTACAGTACAAACTCCATTCATATTTCAATATACTCAGTATTACACTCATCAGTTGTACATAAGCCATTATCGTATCACAAACAGTTTATGAATTGTAAGGAACTATATAAGTATCAAAGTCTGTAGAGGCTAAAGGGTTTTCATCAGCTGGTTGTCACATATGAGCTTTATGTTTAACAACACAAGAAGACACATATGTCTGTTAGGAATACAAATGTGATAATCTCTAATATAAATGAATAAAAAGCTTAGTTAGACTTGAATTTTAAAAATTGTTCGATTGTGCGTTATACAACACCGGAAACGAGCGGCTTGTGTCACACCGAACTCTGTCCCCCCTGTCAGTCACCGGGTGCCTCGCTCCGTCAACATGTCCACTGCGGTGTGTACACGATTCCTGCTTCAGAGAGCAACAGAGGGGTTTCTCTTCTCCTCCAGGGCAGTACCCGCTTTCTCAAGGTATGGTGGTGTTTTGTTCAGGGCTTGTGATTCATTTAGAGCGAAAACCAAAACAAACCTCAGAGGGGTCGGTTAAATAACTGTCCCTTAATTTGACTTCCCTCCTCTCAGACTGTCCTCCCGGGAGACGAGGGCATTAAAAGTCATGTTTTTGTTATGAAATGCTCAACTATCACACGAATTGGTTTCATTCAACGGGTAGTATTGATTTATAAAGACGTATTTGTATTAAATGATACCCATAATACCCTGTTTGTTCAACTGCACCCATACCCTTCAGCTGTAGCCATCATTTTCACTATCAATTAATAACTCCATTATCATCCTTTAATTAACTGACTAAGGTCCAGCAGATGTCAGAAGATAGTGAAGCCCAGACATCTTCAGAAATTATTTTTTCTTATTTTCTCTTTGGGGTTCTGTCTGACTGTTTGTAAATGTTGACACCTGTAATAGATGATTAGCCAGCTGTTTTCTGAAGACACATATGTGGTTTCCTTAGACTACAGCCAATGGCTTTTCAGGTCGGTCACCTGTTGCAAATTATATATACTTTGAGATGTGCACATCTAATGTGATGTTTGTTGGTGATGTTTTGTGACCAATGAAGATCGGATTGATTGAAACGTTGCTCGGCAACAGTGAATAAAGAAACACTGTGGAAGAGAAGAACAGTTATTGCTTGGTCCAGCGTCTGTTGAAGAGGTTTTGTTTTCTGCTTCGTCCATTATAACTCCTAACATTCCCATTTGGAACAAGCCCTAATCCTGTTTGCCCCTTCAGGCAGCATCTCTGGCTCCATCTGCTGGAGTCGCTTATTACATTCACACTTTGTTCAGGCCAGGTCACCTCATGAGCCCTGGTGAGACAGCAGCTGAGCAGAAAATGCAGTGCACCACTTCGCAGAAACAAAGGATTGCTGAACTTGCTCAGAGTTTTGTAATAGTCAGGAAGAAAAGGTGTGAGAAGAACAGTGGGGTGAAACTTGCTACAGCTCCTTACACAAGCAGAAATGTTTCTTGGCTGCCTCTTTTCTGCAGAAACAGGCCTAAAGCTTTTGGCTGTCAGCCCTGTCAGTAGGTTGGCATTCAGTTTCTGGCTTTTAAACTGGGCCATATGGCAGGAGTTCTGCAGTGCAGTCTGTTTATGTGAAATTTAAAGTGATGGAGAGGAGGATAAAACCTGTGCACTAAATACAAAATCACACAGACTGTTTCAGGTCTACAGTTTTTAGGCCACTAGCTATTTTTGTAATAATAATACTGACAGTAATAATGGAAAATGATCAGACTTTTGCACTTAATATGTAATCGGTTCTAACTGAGTTTCCCTGTCTTTTTGTTCCAGCCCATTTCTTTCTCGTGGTCATAGATTGGGACCCAGTGATGATGAAATGTACCAGCGTACCACAGTGTCCGTCATGCAGAAGGAGCCGGGCAGTGGGGTCATGATCCAAAGCTACAGTCCCAGAGGATTCAACATCGATGGCAATAAGGTGTTTGGACCCTGCGCTGTGCTGCCTCCTGCCATCCTGCAGTGGAATGTGAGAGAAATATCCAGACTACCTTCACACACCATAGTTTGTTGCATCATTGTATTTAATTTAAACAACTTTTTGTGTGTTTTTTTTATGGTTATAAATCTCTCTCTCTGCAGGTTGGCAGTCATAAAGACATCACAGAGGAAAGTGTCTCACTCTTCCACATGCTTGAACCAAGAATAGGTAAAAAAAAAAAAGAAAAGAAAGATGGATAAATAAAAGCACACAAACATACAGATGGGTGTATGATATAAAATGTTTTAGTGAGGTGTTGAGTACAGCTTCAGTGACCCTTGGCATTGTCTACAAGTATCTGAAACCATTCTTCCAAAAGATATTCCCTCATTTGATGTTTTGATGACGGTGGTGGAGAATGCTGTCTAACACGTCGGTCTAAAATATCCCATGTGTGTAACTGGGTCGAGATCTGGTGATTCGGAGGGTGTTAGAACATGATTTACATCATTTTCATCAAACCATTCAGTGACCCCTCATGCCTTGTATGGAAGCATCTCCATGTATAGTTATTCATGTTTTTCCTTGATGTTGTCACTCATCTAGGTTCATATATGGTGTACATACATGTAAAAACATTTCCTCATGCATGTCGCGTGACTTATTTTCCTGTTATTTATGCAGAGATTCTTGTGCTGGGCACAGGCGCACGGCTTGAACGAATTAACCCCTCGGTCCTCGCTCTCCTCAAGAGTAAAGGCATCGCTGTGGAGGTGCAAGACACGGTAAAGTAGGCCCAGTTTATCAGTGTAGTCAAGTGTAAATGCTCATCCTGACAGCATGAAGGACTTTAACAAAGACAAAGACAGGATGACTTTCACAGCTGTCCTAATTTTCTTCTTATTTTTCATCTGACTGTTTTTCAGCCGAATGCATGTGCAACCTTCAACTTCCTGACCAGTGAGAGGCGAGTTGCAGCTGCTGGTCTGATCCCTCCACCTGTTAGCACAGCCCTGGAAGTAACACAGGAATAAGTTCTGTCATGTCCTTTGAGATGTTTTTTTTTTCTTCTGCATAAACCTCCCAAAGGAACAAAAACGGTGACCTCCACCTTCAGTATTTGGTTACAGCAGTTACTTTATAGATGAATCATTGACTCAGGTCATCCATTGATCTGAGGCACGCTGGACATTGAGCTGACAATGATCTGCACAAGCATTTGGACAGCTTTGAAATCCAAGTGTGTGTGTGTGTGTGTGTGTGTGTGTGTGTGCGCGTGCGTGCGTGCGTGTGTATGTGTGCACAAGTGCTCAGCAAATGTAGTCAAGTGAGGGGACACCAATGACAGAGAATTAGACTGCAATAAAGTGCAGCTGTATTCTTGTATAGAAATACTGTGTGTATAAATTATATATTTAAATGCTTTACATGTAACAAAAAAATGAGTATCATGCATTTAATGTGTTTTCATGCATACCATAAATGTATAATAAGACCAACCTAGTATACTGTATTTTTTCAATTTAAACAGACACAGTGAAGAGTTGATGTTGTCTGTGCAGCAGATCTATAGGCAAAGATAATTAAATTTTATATGTGTGAATACGTTCCAAGCCTTTGCCCGAGGTGTTGGTGGCGACTGTCCTTCACTTCGATAAGCCTCTTATATCTGTGCGTTTGTGCGTCCTCTGCCTCCAGCAGCGCTGGCACCAACAAGCTGCCAGTCTGCAGCATATGACATATTTCAGTGGCTTTGTCCTCTCACTTAAGCTCCATAGATAAGAGAATCCACAAATCCTCTACAGATCACTGTGATTCATCTCTAATCATCTGCTTCTGTGCCACATGCCCAGCGTCAGTCTGAATGCTTAAATCCCTGTTGTTGACATGCAGGGTGCTGCTTGATTACATTCACCTGCTGCTACTATGTAATAGTTGCACTGGTTTGGTGCTTAAAGGATAAAAAAATATTTAATCCAGTCAAATTAACGCCTGTTGAGTCGCCCTGGTCCATTTGAAGAAATCATGTGTTAGGTCAATTAAGATTATACCCCATTCAGACCCCGTGTTGGTGGTCTGTTAAACATTATGTCAAGTTAATACTAAAAACAAAGTAGGTGATGTGAGAGACTATTTTTTTAGACAAATGTAAGAGGAATTTTGATTGTCACAAAAGCCACTGTGCTCAGGATTTTACTCTGGTATTGTAAAGAATAAATCCTAAAAGCGTGTAGCAAAAAAATTGTATTTATGGTTACAGATAATTATTCTTGTCTCATACCAAAACAATGCAAATGCAGAAGAATGGCTCTTAAAAGAACTGACACAAGACAAAGATGTTTTCCAAACTGTTCCTCAACATCATCATATTTTAGAATTTCACAAAAGGGAGAAATTATACCAAACAAATTCGAGGGAAAGAAAGATATCCAACATTTACATAGTACACTCACTGTCCAGTCTACATGTTACCTAACACACTCTGCCCAGCTGTTTGGTCCTGTTGTTGAAAGTCAGTCGTCATCAGAGTTGTGAGACTGGTGTCTCTGCGACCCTCCGAAGCAGAGCTCTGCTCCTGTGATGCGGCGGTACAGGTCTTTGATGTCTTCACATTCACTCTCACAGTGGTTTGTTGCATCACATGAGCGCGACACAAATATCTAGTGAAGAACGAGCACAGAGGAGAAATCTGTTACCAACACTGGACCCACCACACTCCACTCCATTAAAAAAATAATAAAAAATCTTCTTCTGGAGGAATCCCCTCATTACCTGACTCTTTTTTCCATCTTCGTTGGGAACGAACAGGTTGCTGACTGAAACAAATCTAGATTCAAGGCGGTCACAGAGAATAACATCAATTAAATATTGTTCAAATTCAATTTTACTGACACAACCATGAAACGTAAAACAGTAAAAATTAAAGATTTATAAGTGTCACTAACTTTTGCATGATAGGCTCAAGAAGCTCCAGCCCAGGCTGCACCTCCTTCTCTGGGTTACTGGTTTCTGCCGTCGTGCTGACTGTGGCGATGTACATCCCATCTGAGGCCACATTGTGGGCATAGGACACTACAGATATGTAAATGTCTGCATGAAAAGAAAAAACAGAGACGCAGTAGTCCATACATTAGAAGTCGTTGTGATCATCTTTTCAAAGATTAAATTTAACCAATATCATTTATTTACAAAGATTCTGTGGAGTGGTTGACAGCAAACACACGTTTCTAATGACATGTTCAACAGCCTGGTAATAAATGAAATAAAACCTTCACTTATTTTTCAGGCTTTGACAAATTATACCTGATTTCCTGTTGAGTTGAGCTTGAGGGATGATGATTTGACAGGAGCTGGCCTCGTGGGTGTTTTTAACTGGATGATTTAATAAACAGATGACCCTTACGGCACGCCCCACTTTCCTCACTCGATTGGGAACATAGCTGGGGTCACAGATTAGCTGTTTACAGTGGAACAGCTGAGGGAGAAAAGACAAAATCACAATTGTACCACCGGATATTTTATTCAGTGCCTCCACCACTTTTTTATCTACCTTACCTTCCCCTCAGATTTCACAGCTTTTACTTTGCCGTTCTCCATCACAATCTCCTCCACCGTTTTGTTCAACAGGAAAGTTCCTCCGTACTCGGCACTCAGTCTGAAACACAGAGGCAGGATAGGCAACGTGAAGAAAACATACTGACTGCATCTTTAGTAGCCAGCAAGAATCTCTGAACGTTTGCGATCGTGATGCTAAAAACTAGTGTGAGTGTAACCTCGCAAATCCCTGTGGTAATTCTCCCAGCCCGTACACAGGGTAGAGGTATGGACTGGTGTTGTGGCGGGACAAAGACTCAGAGTACAGCCTGATCCGTCTGATGGTTTCCACACAGGGTTGGTCCAGGTAACTGCAGGGATACCAGGTGACAGTAAATGAGATCAGGCAGGTTTCAGCTTCAAGGAGAATCTGTCAGCATCTGGTTTCTAAAAGTTCCCGTGACTGACCTGTCACTGTCGTGTAAGGCTATGGCATGACCTGTGAACTCCATAACATCTAATCCCAGGTCAAAGCGGCAGAAAAGGTCCCGTGTGGTCGTTTTCTTAGGGTCCACCTCCTGGTAGGTCCGAGGGTTTCTCACATCAAAGTTCAGGGCAAAGAGCAGCAGCTTCCTGAACCTTCTCTTGTCAAACATGCCCATCAGATCTGAAACATTATGGGTTTTTTTAAAAAAACATTATTAAACAGAATGATAAACGTGCATGGAAAATGATGTAAAAACAGGGCAATAAAAGAGCGTCACCTGAAGCTTGGGCATCTTCCTCTGTGGCGGGGACTTTGTGCACTTTCCCCGCCTTGTAGACAAAGCTGCCATCAACAACTCTGAAGTCCAGATAGCGAGTAACATCAGTGTGCACCAAGATCTTCACCAACTCACCTAAAGCAAACAGACAGCTCTCATGGACACTCATTTACACTAAAGTAACGCAAACAGAATGCATTGCACAAGTCCCACTTCAGATGAATAACACTGCTCACCATTGGTAAGAAAAAATTTGGGGATGAGGTCAACGTTCCACTCTTTCCCACGGCCCATAGATTTAGCAGGACCTGAAACCTTGAACTTCTTATACAGCTGTAAATACAGAAACACATTGAATAATAAACACCACAAATCAGCAGAGTTGCACAACTTTGGTTATGGACAACACATGCATGTCCGCTAATGTGTTGCTGTTTGTGTGAACACACCTCCTGAAGGGGAGAAATGGATGCGTTCTCTCCTCCATAGAAGGGATTTTTGTCAATGTGAAGAACCTTTTTCCCACTTAGAGACATTAAACCAGAGAGGATGCATTCCTGAGAGAGACGGGGAGCAGTCAGTTAGAGGGTCAAATGCTGTCAGAATCACGCAAGGTGTAGGGCAGCAGTTGGCAGTGTGCATCCACAGATCAGGATAAGCATAATGATGTCATTTAATTACTATAAATCCCTTTAACAGCCAACTGGCGATTAGAAAGTCAGCACGTGGCTAAACAGTAAAAATGTGAAAAATATGGGAAGAATTTTACTGAAGTGATGATTCAGTATATTTTTAATCACCAAGTGCAAAACATAAATGTGTGTCTCTGCATCTGAGCTTCAAGAACAATTTGATGTCGGTAATGGAGATGATAACAATCATTGTAAGGGATAATCTTAATTTCTTTAGCACATTCCAATGAAAGACATGTCTCTGCCATGGCTTTGCTTGACCCTTTTTGTCAAGTTTAAAGCTCACGCATCTGAGAAAACAAACCTTTCACTGACGCTTAATGGATTTCCACGTGCAATAAGCAGATTTTGATGCGGGTTAGGTTTATATATTTTTTGCATTTGAAATAAAAACGTACCCTAAATATAATTACAACACTTGTTTCAGCTTTCAAATGAATTATAGCTGCCAGTTACTGTGCTCTTAAGAGGGTGTCTGAGTAAATCTAAAGTACTACTCCATGAACTGACAGACATCTGTTATTTTCCTCACATGACTCATGCAGGAGGCTACATATATATGTATAAAAGTTTTCTTACCTTAAGTCCAGTTCCAAGCACTATAATATCATATTCCTGCATCCTAATGCTCTCTCCACTTGTTTCTCACTGCCTCACTGAGTCCCAGTGGTTTTCCTGTGTGCGGTCTGTTGCAGTGTGTGTGGTGTGTGTCTATGTGTGTGTGTGTGTGTGTGTGTGTGTGTGTGTGTGTGTGTGTATGTGCATGTGGGCATGTGCATGTATACATATAGAGACACAGGTGTGATGATGATAAGTGCTTTGTGTTCCTCGATAATGCAATAATCCTATTATGATTTGTGAGAGAGAGAGAGAGAGAGAGAGAGAGATTAGCTATGAGAGGTGGGGTTTCCCATTCGCTGCAGATTGAGGTATTAGATGAAGATCATGACATCAGTGGTGAAAGAAGTATTCAGATCCCTCGTTTTAGTGAAAGTATTAATACAACAATGTAAAAGTACTCTGTTACAAGTAAAAAACATTATTTCAAAATCTCCCAGAAGCACTGGCACCAAAATGCAGCCTACTCAAAGTATCAAAAAAGTGCTTCTTCTGTAAAATAGCACAATTCGAAGTGTGATATTTATCATGTTATTAGTATATTACTGATTAATTTCAGTGTGTATATGCATATTTTTTTTAAATGATCATGTATTTTATGTAAGAAATCTTGAACTGAAAAATAACTAGCAGGCTAACTTTTGCAGGACAAATGTAGTGGAATAAAAATATGCAACATTTCCTTCTGAAATGTGGTGGAGAAGAAATGTATATTATCATAAAATGGAAATACTCAAGTAAAGTACAAGGACCTCATAATTTTACTTAAATAAAGTACTTGAGTGACTGTACTAGTTTATATTCCACCACTGGATACCTTAATTCAAAAAACAACAAAAAACAGCATAATTTCAACATTACATCACATTAAACTGAAGTCAGTAACACCCTCCCGTTCTGAATGACCTGCTACAAAAACTCCATTACCCATGATAACGTGAGCCGAAGATGTTGCGCTTCTTATTAATACCAGGGTACTCGAGCGGCGTAGACGGAATCAAAACTTATGAGGTACAGCGCCGACTCCGCCTACCGGTGCTACTTTCGGGACACTCCGTGTAAAAAATAGAGCGGACCTTTATGTCAAGTAGCCGTTGGTGTTACAGCTTTCAGTCGCTGGCATCTTCAACTTTACTGTTTGATTGTGGAGCTGAACAAGTCAGAGAAATGTCTTCAGCACAGGCAGTAAGTGGATCGCTTCAACCACTCTTGTTTTATTTCAGTAACAATAACTCCTTCCGGATTTCGTGATGCAGTTAAAGTTACCCGTTAGCACCTTAACTACCGCCGTTTCTCATTTTGCTTCAGTTTACAGTGTGATACATAGCTAGTTACATCTTTACGGGGGCGTAACTGGTAACCCCGGTTACACGTTTCTTATTACAGCAATTCGTTT